CAAATAAATAAATAAATAAATAAATAAAATCTTTATTAAAAAAAAAGAAACCTAAAGAAAGGTGAGGGGATTGTTACAGGGTCCTTGGCCCTGCAGGGACCCCCCACTACCCCAGGTCCCAACATCTCCACAGGAAGGAGAGGTAACACTGCAGAACAGTTAAGGTTAGAGCATAAAGACATGTCAGTGCCCATGTGGATGGAAGAAAAGAAAGAGACCGTAACTGTAATAACCCACGGTTAAGGAGGATGCCTACGTACAGGGGGGTGGGGCTCAGAGAGAAGGAAGATGGGGAATAAAACCACTGGCTTTCTGTCTTTGTACCTGAATCCAAGCTGGTCGGGTCCAGGTTTTGTTGCCAGTGGTAGGGTAAGCTCGTCTGGTTTGAGGACAGAAGAATGGCTTGTATGCGGAGGGCAGCGTGTGCGTGAAGGGACTGCTACGCAGGCAAGAAGGCCACGCAGCAGGGAGTGGTCACCTTCCTGCTGCATGCGGCATGTGCATGGGTCTTTGTGCAGACCTCATTCTCTCTGACCTCTCTGTCACTCCGCACAGAAACCCCCTACGGGCACGGACGAGTTCACAGTCCATGGACGTGCCCCCCTTGCTCCTTTAATTTGTCTCCTTGTCTTCTTCCTTTGCTTACTCCTTAAGTGGGGACCACTCCCCAGCATCTGGCTCCTTCTCTTCTCCCCGTCATCTTCTTTGGGGACCCCACTTGCCGCTTTAAGCAGCACCCAAGTGTCGTCCCCACATGCCCCAACTTCCGTCCCCCGCTCAGACCTTAGAGTTCTAAACCACAGTCCAACTTCTTTTTAAATCAGTGGTCTGAAACTGGGGTACGCGTCCCCCAAGGGTTCACAAAGACTTTCTAAAGGTACATAAGCAAAGACAACTGTAAAGGAATCAATTTGCAGATCCTCCATTTTCACATGTATTTTCTCCCAGAAGACTGATCTGAGGGTGCTCCTGCAGTCCCGACATCCTGCTTGTCACCCCTGCCCCGCCTCTCCCTTTTACAACTGTCCCCTCACTTTCTAAAAACAAACAAACAAACCCCACTTTTCACCCATTCTGAACCTCACAACCGAGCACTGGTCTGGCAGTAAAAACCTCCAGGACACCACACGGAACAAACTGAATATAGTTATGGGTGCAGCTGAAACTTTATCTTTTCTTTTTTTTAAGGCGGGGGAAGCGCCTGGATGGCTCAGTTGGCTAAGCGTCCAACTCTTGATTTTGGCTGAGGTTACAATCTCAGGGTCGTGGGATCGAGCCCTACATTGGGCTCTGTGTTCAGCGCGGAATCTGCTTGTCCCTCTCCCTCTGCTCTTCACCGCACCCCCCCCCCACGTTATCTATCTCATAAATAAATAAATAAATAATCTCTGAAAAGAGAGTGTGCATGCATAAGCAGGGGTGGAGAGGTGGGGGAGATAGAGAGAGAATCTTAATCAGGCTCCATGCACAGTGTGGAGCCCGACGCTGGGCTCGATCCCACGACCCTG